GACCTTGAATGTGGGCTGGCCTGTGACTTGCTCTGGCCAGCAGAACGTGGCTGTAGTGCTGGAGTGCCAGCTCTGAGTACAGTGGCCCTCTCTCGGAAGCCTGCCCCAGTTACAAGAACGAGAGGGGCTAGCATGCTGGAGGATGAGAGGTCACACAGAAGAGAGCCCCACTGTCCCAGGTAAAGCCATCCTCCACCAGCCTGTGGCTAGCAAGCCACGTGAAAGAGACTGGCCAAGATGAGCAGGGCCAACATACGTAGAAGTGAGCCTGGCTGTGACCAGGAGGCCTGCCCAGGTGACTCACAGGCTCATGAGCAAGGATAACATGAATTTTAAGGTGATTTGCTACATAGCAATAGCTAACTAATACAGGGTTTTCTGTTCCAAATAGTATATCTTCCATAATACTTAGGAACTAGATCTTAAAACTGGAAATAAAAATAGCATTTGGCATTTACTGAGTGCCAAGAATTTCAAAGTACTTAGTAAACAAACAAGTCCGCTTTAACTTTTAACCAAACTCTAGGATCCTCGCTTTGCTCAGAACCTAAAGAGGTTACTGGAAAAGCATATGACGTCATTACTGTTGATTAAATATCATTCAATATTTTCATCCTGTCTATCAAGGATAATAATTCAGTGTGTTCTTTTATCTTACTACAGTAGATACATAAAAAGCAGACTAAAAACCACAGGCCGGACGAACTATCTATTCCAGGGAGATTAATCTGCCCTTTGCTCACAGAGACTCCTGACGATCAGAGTAAGTAGAGAGGCTCCTTTTATTCTTCTGGTCCTTCTGTGCTACTCTCTCAAAGAGCTGATTAAAAGCAAGTTAAAAGGAGACTTAGGAAATCACCCAGTCTATACAGCCTCATCTACTTAAGCTACAATACAGTAGAGCAAAGATAGATTCAAAGCATGAGTTTTCTTCTGACAAAGCACTGGCTCTCAGACCAGGAGGTATCTTGTGCAAGTCATGATTAACATCACTTTTAAACCTGTAACTCCATTAGAACACACATTTAGGCTCGATACATGTTATTTTCCAGTATGATTACCCTGAAAATCATGTCCACAGTTTGATAAGTAGATTCAAAAAGCACACGAGTGTTTCTGTAAAGTCACAAGGTCAAGTTCTACCTCGTCTGACACATCAGCATTTCCAAAACCAGATCTTTTGAAAAATTTCTCAAAAAACACCCTAGTCATCCCAAAATAACCAAATTAAAGCAATTCAACCATCTACAAATTATAAACTGATATACAGGGATTATTTAATCAATTTAAAAGAATATACAGTATAGCACCTGTTACAAATTAATTAAGCCCCAGGTCCGGTTTCTTTTGAACTCTGAGCAAATAGTAAGTCTGAGGGAATCTGATTTTTCCAGTCACTCTCAAGATTGCTGATGCTGTTTTAAATATTGGTAAACCACCGCACATTTCTGTCACTTACTACAAAGGATATTCTTTCCTAGTCTGACAGTGCCTCCAGAGTTACCGACAAAAATGTGTAGTTCTGACTAACATAACATTGTAAATCAACTATACTTCAATTAAAAAAATTTTTTTAAACAAAATGACTCAAAGTGAAAAAAAATCTGTAATTCTGGTAGCTGGGGTGGTTTCTATAACATTAAGATGTTAGCCTAAAAGGGAAAAAGGAAAGGATATAGCACAATCTGCTTTTATCAAATAAACAGCAATTCCCTTCCAGCCAAGTCTCCTGATCTCTGCCCTCTTCATTAATGCTGGGGAAAGCCACCTTTCCCCTCTGATAACAAACGGAGAAAACACTAGATTTTTACTGCATTGATTATCTAAACTGAAAGGCAGGGAAACCAGCCTCTCTCTACAGAGGAGAATTAGATGGGCTTAGAAAAAATTAACATTTCTGTCGTCTTTTACGGTCTAGGGGAGGAGTCCTGGGCACCATTCACAGCGACGGTGACTCTCAGACTGCTGATTTCTGTCCTAGGAGGAAGGTACCTGCGCCAGCCCCTAAATGAGTAATGCTGCTCCGGAGGCCAATGGCTGGCTTCTATCTGCAGATGTTCTTTTTCACCTGAGGAACCGTTCCTGCTGTTATCTTTTCACGGTTAGCATCAAAATCATTTTTTGTGACCTCTGCCACCTAGGAGGGTACAAGCCGTCACAACCCGGAGGAGCAGAAGCAGTCCAGACAGGACGGAACCAGTCAATGCAGGGTCCACGCAACGCTGCTTCTTGAATTTAAAAAAAAAAAAAAGGTTCAAACTCTGTCCACAGCCTGGAGGTCTTGAAGCACAAGGATAACCTAACCCAAAAGAACACAGTTGGAGGCAGTAAGGAAGGCCTGTTTTTCCCTTCTGGTCCAGGCTTCTTTATTCCTACTAGGTTTATTGATGGATCTACTCTAACATTTGAGAGACCACTGAGCACCTGCTTTCCTTCTGGGAGTCTGGAACTGGGGCACGTGGGAGGCAGAGGCTGCCTTCATGACCAGCCCCCAGTGAAAACTGTGGGTACTGAGTTTCTTACCACTCGCTGGAGATGGCACTTCACACACATGGTAGAACTCACTGCTGGGGGGACAAAGCACCTCCTGAGTGACTCCACAGGGCCAGGACTCTTGGAAGCTCACGCCTGGTTTCCTCTAGACTTCGCCCCATACCTCTCCCTTTGTCTATCTTTGGTGTCCTTTTGCTGTAATAAATCATGGCCTTGAGGATGACCGTGTGATGGCAGTCTTCCTAGTGAATCAAGGAACCTGGAGGTGGTCCTGGGGCTCCCTAACACAGCAGGGCAAAGACTTTACAAGAAAAAACTTGTGACTGACGCGACTTGAAAGTGACCAAATATGGAAATGATGAAAAGGCAGGACCTGAAGACAGTTATAAGAACTTAGGGTTGTAAGTCACGCCCAAAATGGTATTGCCCTACTCAGATAGGAAAACTTGCATGTTATTTACACACACACACTCACGGACATAGGAAGCAGAAACAGCTTTAGCTTTTGATGAGATTGAAGCAATTAAATGGAAAATAAATGGGAATGAAAATAATGGCCAACATGTATAAAGCGCTTTCTCTGCACCAGGCACAGTTCAAAGAGCTCTGCCTCTGAATTCATCTAATTTGCACAAAACCCTATGAGGTAGGTGCCGCTAAATCTCCGTTCTGCAGATGAGAAAACTGATACAGAGAGAATTAGTAACCCACCCAAGGTCACAGGGCTGGGATTCAAACTCAGGCATTCCAGATACAGAATCTTTTCTTAAATATGCTGTAAAAAGAAAATGATCCTAACAACGAAAAACTGCTCTAACGACAGAGGAAGAAATTCGTTCCCACCGCTGCTTCCTGCCTTCTCGTGTCTTCACTTTATTTTGTAACGCAAATTAAAGAGTCTATTTTTAGGCACTGCACAACAACAAAAATACAGCAGTTAACAGTCTGGTTTTCTGTATAAACGAAAAACTTCCAGCTACGCCAGGTTTCCTCGTAAGCATAACTTAAAAATCAAGTTGTTTATTTGATTATTTCCATGTGAACAGTTAGCAAGTACACAATTTTTCCTTCAAACCATCTTAATATGCTGAGAAACGTCTAAAAAGAAGCAAATATATTAAATACCTGGTGAAACAAACAAACAAAAAGAAGATGCTACCAAAAATATTTTAAAAGTTGCTTTTCTGTCATCTTTATTGCTTATCAGCCTAGCAACATTCCAAAATACCTCAAAACATATAAGATCTGTCTTTGCCTGACTTAGGCCGGGTAAAACTGAGTTTCTTGCAGAAACCAATCTTGGCCCACAAGCCCCTGAAACAAAAGGATTAGCACGCGTCTCTCCAGTCTGTTTTTCAAAAATGAAGACAGCAGGGCCACAGCCTTAACTTGATTATAAGTCTTTTAATAAAGTTTTTACCTTTTGAAAATGCTATCCTACCACCAACTGTCTGACCTTCGGGGTGCAGTCTGCAGCAGAGAAGTTCAAAAAGCAAACGTGTCGAGGGAATTGATTCCCGCTGTCTCACCACATTCAGTTCTGTTCTGAACGCAGTCTCATTTTCTGTTTCCCCCACCAGGAAAATGACTGCTGTAGCTCAAATTCTTAACCGTATTACTGAGGTTATTACTTTTATTTTGAGAGTTTTCCTGACTAGAGAAGACAGTCACACTTGATTGGCTCAAGAGTATTTTTGTTAACTTCACGAATTTAGCACTCTTACACTTTGGATGCTCAAATACTCTAGCTCCAAAGTGCAGGTGACTGAAAACTAAAATTTAAAAATACTAATTAAGGTTTCTCGAAGGATGAAGTTAAACAAAAGGGCTTAGGGTATATATTACTTCAACAAAACATAAATGAATGCATATGAAAGAGCAGCCCTCTTATCTGTTAACCCTTCATGGCACAGTAACCCCTGAAGGTCTCTGATTAGACCCTTAAGCTCACATCGTTACCCGTGACTCCAGGTATGAAGGAATTACGCTGAATATTCCACATTGATTTATTACCCCTTGGGGGAATTATCTGTATTTAGTTCTATCATATATAGTTTGGTTTGGGGGGGAAATAGCCGGGTATACGTAAATAACCACAGGCAAATACATCCCAGAAGCTGACAAAAAGGAGGACAGAGTGTCGACAGTATCCTCTCCCAGCGGGTCTCCACAGCCAAGCACCAGGACGAAGGGCCCTTCGTTAGTGTGCAGCAGTGGTCCACAAAGTGTGGTTCCTGGACCAGGAGCATCCACATGGACATCACTGGAAACGTGGCAGAAATGCAGGCTCTCAGGCCTCACCCCAGACTCACTGAATCAGAATCCCTGGGGTGCGGCCCAGCTACCTGTGTTTGAACAAGATCTATCCCCATGCGATGCGCACTCAAGTTTGGAAACCACTGTCTAGAGAGACCAGATAAACAAGTGCATTAAGCCCAGACCCGGATTTCTCAACCTCGGCACCACTGACATTTGGGGCTGGACAATCCTTTTCATGAGGGACTGACCTGTGCATTACAGGACGTGGAGGGCCCTCTACCCACCAGGTGCCAGTAGTCCCCTCCTCCAGGCGTGACAACCAAAATGTCTCCAGATTATTGCCAGATGTCCCGTGGGGGGAAAGGGCAGAATCCTAGCATTTGACACTTGCTGCGGGAGTCGTCAATCATCGATACCGCCTGGACTCAGGTTCTCCAAATGTGCAGAACAACAAGGTGCACCGCAAAAAGAACAGGACCTCAGAGTCAGACCTCGGTTCAAATCTCGTTTCTATCACTTACTAGCTATGTGACCTTGGGTAGTTACTTCAATGTCTTTTGTGCCCCAGTTTTCCAAAGAGTCAAACGTTCATTACAATAGGATGCTTCCCCCACATATCCCGTAAAACTCCTAGCTGGGTTTGGGACAGCATCTGCAATTAAGTGCGTTGCTATTTCTGCAGTAAAACGAATGAACATTCACACCACAAAGGATAAATAAAGATTCACATAGTCTCATCTATGCAGGTCAAGTTTTAGCACCAATGAGTTTTCAGGCCCAACTCACAAAAACCAACAAAACACACTTGACTTTTAAAATACATTGAATTTTGGAACTGCAGAGAAGAGAAGGAGGCTGTACCCACCTTGTGGGGAGACGTAAGGACCGGAGGCATCATATACAGAGATCTCATTCTGCACTGAGAGAGGGAAGGGACTTTTGAAAGGTTAACTATTGTTATTTCTGAAGTACAAATTCTGACCATGTCATTTGCTTATTCTGAACTCTCTGATGGTCCCCCACAGCTTGCAAACTAATATCCAAATTCCTAAGAGCGGCACCCGAGGAAGATCTTTCTGGAACTGGACACTGGGCCTTCCAGCTCTCAGTATGCCTTTTGTTCCAGACACCTAGAAATAACTGTGGTTCTGTACTTGTGGCTATTCCCTCCCGTCCTCTCCCTCTGCCTGGACCAAGGATGCGCACCCCTCCTTCCTTCACACAGACCACTCCTCTCTCCAACGACATCTCTTCCAGGAGGCTTTCCTGGAAGCCCAGCCCTCAACCAAGAACCCTCCGTCCTCCGTGTCTCCCCAGCACCCAGGAAGCCGAGAGCACAGGGCCATCTCTTCACCACACCATCTGGCCCTTTGGAAACAGCAATTTCAAAGTCAGTTTTTTTTTTTACCCACAGACTTGGCACAGGCCGGGCACATAAGAAGTGTCCAATAAATGCTTGTTTGATGAATGAAGGCGGTCAGTGCCTGCTTCCTCATCAGGCTGGTTCCTTCAGGTTGGAGGCCATAAAATAAATGAATCAGAAGTTTTGTGAGGGCAGGTGCTATGACTGTTGATCCCTGTTGTATCTCTAGGGCCTGGCACTCACTAAGTACTGTATTTCTAAATAAATAAGTGAATAAATAAATGACTGAGGACTTGCCTCATATTTAGGACAACGTAAAAACAAACCACAACATACAACAATGACAGCAACAACAGAAACCCACAGCCGTTAGCTTTCATGCATATCATTAAGTGTAGCACCTGCTAAAAAGAGTGTCCTCCCTTCCAGGTAGTTCCAAAGGCCTGATAAACACAAATTAGAAACTCAGAGCCTCAACCCTCGCCAGGTCCAGTCATCGGCCAGGTCCCTGCTGCGTCCCAGTGACAAAATGAGCTGACGGGAGGCTCCCCCAGAACATTTCAGTCCCAGAGCAGCTCAGTAATCACTTTCCATAAAACACTGGTCAGCACTGCTCCTGGCCAGTAATCTCAAACATTCAGCAATTTACTCAACACACATGAGTCATGAATAAAATATTTTACTGAATAAAGACAGCTAACTAGTATAAAGCACTGTCTGCATCTATGATGCAAATATCATTATTTTGTTCTTCGTTTTTTTTTTCCACATTCTCCTCTTTTCCCTGTGGCTCAGGCAGCCCTCCTTCCCCCCTCCCTTCCTGCTCTCACATCCACACCCAGGTCCTACCAATCACTCCCTACCTTGTTTGAGGTCAACTGCATGTAAACTGCAGGCTCACAATAAACTCACTCTAAAGCAAAATACAAAGGTCAAACAGGCGCTAGGGGCTTCAGGTTTCCTCTTCCCATTCGGGACTGGTCCTTTTCAAAGCTCCTGACTTCAAAAGACAGATTACAAAATGCTGGACTCCACCTCTACGCTAGAACAAGCAGTACCTTCCTTCTTCCAGAAAGTCTTTCCACTTGTGTAACCTCGCCACTTGAGACCACTCACCATACTCAGGAAGCCCAGTTTCACACAGTCATTTCGTCCAAATTTCCACGGTAAAGCCACTAACCTTTTAAACTTTTAGGGTTTTAAAAACGCTAAAGTTTTAAAGCAAATAATCTCTCCAATCCAATCACACAGCCCTGGGAAGACCAGACAGCTGGTTTAGGGAGTCCTGGGTTGTATTTGTAGCGTCACCAGTATCTCTGTGCCTGTCCACGGGCCTCAGTTTCCTTCCTCTTGGGTAAAGTGAGAAAATCGAATCAGATCAGTGCGTCCCAAAGTACGGTGGGCCAGACTTCTTGGTACAAGACAGAGCTGACTAAAAGTGCACACAGATTAACATATTTTAGCTATTAGTTTAATTTTTTTACAAGTGATGACTGGCTTTCCAGTAATGGTGGACATGGAAATTTTTCTTTAAAATAAAAGCTTCGTTTATTATTACTTTAAGTCTTTTCTTAAGGAGTCACTTTTAGAGGGGGAAAAAAACTACTTTGTATCTAACAATTCAGGCGGTTCTAGCAGCTGTGGCAAAATAACTGATCCAGGGACCTGGTGTAGCTCGAAAGGGGTGTAAACCCCTACGTAAAGCTGAAAGGAAGGGCGTGAAAGTCCCGGGAGGTTTTCTGCCAGAAGGGAATCCCTGGCACCAGGTCCCTCGGTAACCGGCCGCCAGTCCCGGCGCCCGGAGAAGGTAGCTGGGCACTGTCCGCGGAGGGCCAAGCAACCCCCAGGGGTCCGGACGCTTCCAGCTGCGAGCGAAATTCCACAAAGGAGAGGCGGCGGCGGCGGGGGTCCCGGGCTAGAGGGATACCGTGGGGGTCCCGGCCGGGATGGGGGTCTCGGGCTGGCCGAGCGCAGTGGACGGGGATCGCGGGCCGGAGGGGCGCGGAGGGGATGGAGACTCGGAGGACCCGCGGGCTGGAACCGGGCGGGAGTGGGGGC